CCATAGCTGTTAATCCACGATCTAATTCTCGACCACCATGCTTACGATGACGAAAAGCTTTTCTATATTTAGGATCAACAATAAAATTACGCATACCTGATCACAATTCCATCGGCAACATATTCTAAAGTTAATTTTGGATCTTCTATAGAGAAAATCTCATTGCAGATGATTGGAAATTTTTGTCAACTGTCTTAACCATAGTAATCTTTTCCATGTTATTTTACTTGTTAATAATTGCTCATCAATTTTTTTAATCTTTCGATTTGTCCGTGCTTGTATTAAGTATGGGCTCTTTATTTTGTTGTCGTTCGAATGCCTACTTAAAGGTTGCTTTACGAAATGATTAAATTCGATCACGCATATGAACACATGTAACAATAACAGTTTTGGATGAGTGTTGCTCAGCTAATAACAGACATTGTTCAAGTAACAGTTCTGGAGCAGATAAATAAACAAGTATCCATTTCGGACCTAATATAATGAAAAAAAAGTAACAATAGACAAATTCTTCAACGCATTTCAACAATGATTTCAGAAAACTTATTTAGATAGACTTCACATATCCCCAGGTGAATGAATCCGATAACGGAATCTATCGGATCTGATCGAATCCGACCATTCGATAAAATCCGACAGGATTCCGTGAAACGAATCTATTAATGGATTCGACAGAAAAACCTATTTAATTAATTAAGAATCAATAACTAATTAGTAACACTATTAGAGATCAGTTAAAACGGGACGTTGGATTCCATTGAATTCCGATAGTAAGATACTATCGGGTTAAAACACTACAGCTCTGCTGGTCGATTCGTTTCCCGGCTTCCGATAGAGTTTCGTCGGATTCACGAAAATTCATATAAAATCCTATCGAATCCGAGTCGGTCCTATTGTCGGATTTAATGGCCTGGGTCCTAATAATTGCGACGAATATTATGCATAGAACGATGTAGAAGAAAAATCATAACACCGTGATTAGTTGTACATCAACGATGATGTGACAAGTTCACTACGTTACATGAATAATCCAAGAAGCGTTATAAAATTTAAAAGCAAATCGGAGTAAAGTGTTATTTCGATGAAAATATTTCTTGTCGTAGATTTAATTATAAATTATACTGCAGAATAATGTATTCGGCTGTCTTGACATTAGTTAAACAATTTCGTTTTAATTTATGGGCAAGAGAAATATACGAGCTGCTTGATGAGAAAATATTCTTTAGGATCGATTTCTATAGATCAAGATTTCATCTCTTTTCTGATGCTGTCCTTACCTATACATTATTCAATGCTGGATCAATGTACAATAAAACCAAATGCATATTTAAGCATTCTGATTATAACAAGAAAATAAAATAACATAAGTAAAATCGAATAAATTACCGATATGATCAAAAGTAGAAAGCTTGATCGCAAAATTATGATTTATCACAAAATTTCATGATGGATAGCAATTCACTGCTAATTGTTTCGCCATTTTAAGAATATGAACAATTCTAACAATGAATGCTGTAGTCGTATTTTTATGATTAGCCAAATCATGACAGAAGAGCATGATTGTATCACAAAATATGGTTAGAAAAGATTTCTGAAGTCATATAACTAGTGGCCCACAAATAATAGTTGTCTCAGTATTTCAGCGATATCACTCTTAATATCAATTTGTTTCAACTTGAAAGATAAGTCGTTTTATGCTCTAGAAAAGGGCTCGTTATTTATATTGTCGAATAATATGCATTATTTTCTAAGGTAAGCCTTAAATGAACAATTCAAAAACAATATCTCATTAAGTTTTTTCATATATCCCTTTCAATCCCATGGGTTTAAGTCTGGACTATTCGGTCGTCAAGGAACTGAATATATGAATGATGAAAATTAATATTGGTACCATTTTTCTATTAGACGATGAATGTTAAGTTTTGCCATCATCACATTGATGGTGTGAGTGTGGACATGAGCATACGGGAAAAGAACACGCATACAACAACATCAACACACGCACACTCTACCCACCCATGCGTCCGACCCCACACACCCACACCCACCAAATCTAATGAATAATCTGTTATAGTACTCACTAGGCTGACAATCATACCAAGCTGAGCAATGATAGAAAACTTGACTAGTATATACGATTCTAAGTACATAACATCAGAGTTTTTTTTGTTTCAGATTTATTAACACACGAATATAACGAGCGCATACGACTAATCAACGTCGTTCAGAAAGTATAAACTAAGTAATTCTAATAATACATATAATTAGTTCACAACAAATGATAACACTGGAAATTATCAAGTTCATTTTCCTTTTTTCTAGAAAAACGTGCGCATCTACAAGATTAAAGACTCAACAATTCACGTAGTATTCATCGAGCGAAGTAGCAATATTAGATCGATTTCTAGAGTCACGGAAGTGTGAAGGAGGGGAATTAATGAGTTTCAACCCACAGAAGAGGTTCGAAGATGCATTGTCTTCAGCAGAGTTCCGACAAAAAACGGGCTGGTGTAGACATATGAGTGAAGTTCATCTTTTCTTCTTTGAACAACTATCCACAAAGCTCATAGCAATTAATATGCGGCTTTAATGAGGGTTTCAATATCAGCTGAATAATCTAAACTATATAGATGCGATCCTCCGAAAT